GAACATGATCTTTACTTAATATCCTAATGATTTTTGGCATAAAAGAAAAATCTATAATTTTGACCCATACAATGTATTTTTGGCTATTGCTACAAATATACCCCAGCGACTTAACACTGCTTTTGTGCTCCAGGGTCACATAGTCTTTTTACCACAGCTTTTTCCTCTGAGCTTTTCCTCCTCCAGGCCTCTAGAGGGCAGACCGAGCTGCCCGCTCTCATTCCATCCCCACATATACAGGTCGCCACCAGCTAAACACCATAAACAGATTTCATATGAACACTCTGTATATTAGTACGGCTGAGTTTGATCAGGAAAGTTTCAGGAAACCTCTTACTGCTGATGGAAGCGGAGTGCCAGTTCCCAGCAGACACTGCTCTGATCGGGACGCCCCACAGCGCCTCCAGCACCTGAGGTTCCTCCTGTGACGTCAGAGCGCCGTGACCCAGCTGACCGTGACTGACCAATCAAAACATCAGCTTAAAAACACTCTTCAAAAGATGCATACAGTTTAATGCCTATAGAACTGAATGCTGCCTTTGACAAAACTGTGATGTGGTCTAGAAAAGGCTGTTTTATTTTACATAAAATATTATTGTAATACAATGAATTTTCACAATAAGCATAAATTAGAGGCAGGACAAAAATACTGCCATGATCTAAATATAAATACTATTTAAATATGTATATATATATGGAGTTTTAAAAGCTTTTGAAACACATACACTTAGTTACATTGACCCCATTTAAACCTGGTATTAAGATCTGTCTCAGGCAATAAAATCTAAGGTGAACAGCACTAAGGTGTAAATGAGATTTTTTTTTTTTATTTATTTATTTATTTATTTATTTTTTGCATTACAATAGTTATTTTAGTATTATTTATACACTATTATAGTATTTAATAATATTTTGAATTAGCTTTTATTATTTTCAGTTTTCATTTTAATTTGTAGTGGTTTTAGTAATTTTGTTATGTGCTTTTCCCATTTTTATTAAATATTTCTAGTTAGCTTAAATTTATTTTATTTCAGTCTTAGTAATTGTAGTATTCAAACATAAATTTAGTCGTGCTTTTGTAATTTTAATTAGATATTTCTATTTTGCTTTAATTTTTATTTCAGTTTGAGTACTTTAACGTAAGCATACTTTATTGCAATTAGTTGCAATGCAAACATTTTTATTTTATTTTTAAGTTTAAGTTTTTCATCTTTACAATTTATTTTATTTCAGTTTTATTTTCAATAACCAAACATGATTTTTAATAGTTTTAGTTTACAATATCAACACTCGCACTAATGAGAATTTCCAATAAATATGCTCGATTGTCATAAAAAAAAAAGAATAAAATAAAAATATGCTTAATTTTCTTATATATATAATCTGAAATATGACCTGTTCTTGACAGGTTTTGTGAGACTCACCCATAAACGCAGATTATTTCTACAATTAATATAATATTATTTTTGGTAACACTTTAAAATAAGGTCTAACTTTAACAAACACTAACTAACATTAACAAACAATGAGCAATACACTGGTTACAGCATTTATTAATCTTTGTAAATGTTGGTTAATGAAAATAAAACTCATTGTTAGTTCATGTCAGCTCAGGTCTATTAAATAATATTAAAAGATACAACACTTGATTTTATTATTGTATTAGTAAATATTTAAATTAACTAAGATTAATAAATGCTTTAGAAATATTTGAATTGTTAGTTTGTTAACTAATATTGCTGTAAATGTAATATAGTAATATATACAAATGGAATGTAGTTAACAAATGGAACCTTACTGTAAAGTGTTACACAATTTTTAATGAAAAGATTAACACTGAATCTTTCTTGTACCTTCCAGACCCCCAGGAGTACACAGTCCCGTCTGACGTCAGCAGCACAGCGTGCTCAGAGCCCAACGCCAGGCTCACGGCACAGAGGTCAGAGCAGAGAGGACGGAAAAAAGGGGTTTTGGGTGTGACGTACCCGCCTGACACCAACGGCAGCGTAACAAGATGTCCTGAATAAATGCATCATATCAATATCATCATCAGTGTTGTGGGTAACGCATTACAAGTACCGCGAGTTACGTAATCAGATTACTTTTTTCAAGTAACTAGTAAAGTAACGAATTACTTTTTCATTTACAAGAGAATATCTGAGTTACTTTTTCAAATAAGTAACGCAAGTTACTTTTTTTTTTCCAATTTATTGAT